GCTGGCTTCACCAGCCAGAAGCCAATCAGATCACCCAAAACAAATGACGGGGTGGCTTCAGCTTCACTGGCTTCAACGAGACTAAATCCATCATTAATCGCAAGTGATAGTGCTGCTTGGTGGTTACGGAATATTGAAATGTTCTGTTCCGGTTGTTGTAGGAGGTTAGTGTTCTCCGGTCTATAGCTCCATTTTTACACACACAAGTGGTAAGTTATTTTTCGAGGCAGAGTAAATGATGCCCGTTCTGTAAACTATGCTCACTGTGAGCTTTGCTGAAAAGGTGTTAAATGGGTACATGCTGTATGCGAACTGTTGTAGGTCTTTTGCAAATGGGTGAACTGTCAAGTGTATTATCATATATCACATATTTTACTTCGTGATATTCTTGTTGAACAGCAAAATGTATTACTCCTGGTTAGGGTGCTGGCTTTCACAGTCAACTGAGGGTTTTAACTCCAGCTATTACTGTAATCCATTAAACAATCAAACAATCAATGTGTGTCGCACCAAATTTGCAGCTGTCCACTACTGTCCTAATAAATGTGGAAAAGGTATCTGGGAGTATATGTGCAGTATGGATATGTTACGTACACTAATACTTGAGTCCCGTGCCTAATTAAGACCATTGTCAATTATGTATGGGGCAATTAGGTATGGGGCGAGAGGCATTTAAAAGTGTGTTGTATAAGTAAATAAGTAAATTATATGTAATTAATAGTTGATGAATGTTGAGTATTAAATGAAAGCAAGCATTACAAAAATAGCTCTTAAAAGTACCGTTGAAAAGGTCGCAGGAACATGGCCCGGAAATGTTCTTGACATGAGCAAAGAAGTCTATGGAGTAATTTTACTTGTAAGAATAGGGAGTTGGCATGACAAATAACCAACGCTGGTCCAATTTGTCTCTGTTCAGACACTATGAGAAGCTCCCTTTGATGTGCTTCAAAGTCCAGTTTTTAATAGTTTTTGTGGTGTCTGCCCTGACGATTTCAATCCTCACGTTTCCAGGCTGAAATTGGCCTGGATTCATTGGGCAGACTCCCCTTTCACTTGCTCTGTGTAAATAGCATAGAGCCGACACACTAAAGCAGAAAATGAAAAAAATTAAAATAGATGGAAATGGTTGGGATTGGTCCGACAGCACCCCCTTTCAATCTCTCTGTTGAAATTTCGCGCCGCCGG